AACTCGAGAGTACCCTCGAGTTGGGCTTGTTCCTCCAGAGTTTCGACACTCATGTTAGGTGAGACTAGTTGATTCTATAGATGGACTCAGTTATGATTCGCCCGGAGTTTTTGGACCCTCATGTTAATGTTGACCTCACATGAATCCACCCCAGTTTATTGATAGGGGGGTGTTCCCCTCCAATTGAAAAAGATTCCAACCACTAAACCAGGGACACCCCCTGATTAATAAACAGGGGTTGATTAACATGGGAGGGTCCCAGGCACCTCCTACCTCTTCCGATAGCCGCTTCTCAGCTCCAGAGTTGGGACTCGACTCATTTCCTCACGTTAGTCACCTGGACCTCGCCAGGTGCCGCTCTGGAGCCCGGCGGGGCTCCGGTTTCGGTTTCGGTGCGTGGGTGCGGTCGTTTCTTTGAGGGTAGGTGTGGTTTAAAAAGGGAAGCCGAAAGGAAAGCGAAAGGAAAGCGAAAGGAAAGCGAGAAAATTTGTTGGGGTCACCTGAAAAGGACCGCTGACGTCCAAATTTGGCGCAAGCCACTTTAAAGCTGTTAGGGTCACTGCAACACTGGGAGTTGTTGATAATACGGCGACCCCGGATGAAGGAACCTTGCTGATTAATTGGGGGGCTTTCCCCAGCAGCGATTCGGACAAATATACGGACTGCCTCTAAACGGGACACCCTCAAGCAAACTCAGGGATTGATTTGTTCCAGGTCAAAATGATGAGGATCGATCAACGTTGCTACTTCGTATCTGCTTTTGGATGGGCCGGGCCCGGTCAAGTCGCTGGCTGGTTGGTTGTCCCAGTTAGTGGGGTTATTGGCTTTGGTGGCAGCTGAGAGTTGCTCGGGCTTGTTTTGGGTGAGTTGTTGGGCTTGCTGAGATGTTGATGTAGCCCGAACTCACCCAAGATCCGCCCTCATTAAGTCATTAAGATTTCAGTAGGCCAGCCCCAGGTGCGAGCGCCGACGCGGCCAACCAACCCCAACCCCCAGACTGACCCAAAGCCGCCTGTCGTGCCCAACCTAAGACTGGAGCATGGAGTCCCAAAGAATCTGCATGTCAAATGAGGGTTTGCGGTAAATTGTTGGAAATTCATGTTCCGGGCGTGTCTTTTTGGGAACATCCCTCTAAAGCAAACCAAAAGGGGGTATCCTCGAACCTGAGGGAGGCCACGAACCCGAATGCAGATGAATGACAACCCGAACCCAAACGCATCACCCAACAGCAAAGAAATCCCCAGCCAAGACATGTTTCCCGAAACATCCCGAAGTCATCCCCAATTCAACCACGAAATCTGTGCGCGCTGCTTCAAAGTGCTGTGCCCGCCACGCACATCAACGTGCATCCCCAAAGTACTGCGTCGCAAACGCGACCTTCGCCCCCTATAGACCTCACTTATGAGCGGAAACCCTTCGAGGTCCCATCAACACGTCAGGAAAGTCTACGATTTGGCAGCTGGGGGACTTTTCGTTTGCTACGAACAGCGTGTTTCTTAGGACTGTGGCACAGCGCAAATATGAGCAACGGTCACTATTCAGCATCGTTTGTAGAAAGGAAGCCGACATTGGATGCGATACGCACACTTCCCAAGACTTTGAGAAATTGTGAGGAATTGGGGCTGACTCACCATGAATTCAGTATCATCCGGAGACAATGAGTAGTGTTTCAGGCGATATGCTGCTGAATGGGTTTGGTGCCGACCTGCTACCGGCATTGAACACCCAGTGCTCAAGTTTGCTGGACATAGGTTTCGCCTACTTCCGACCAGTGCCTGTGGATGCAGGCACAAGTAAGATGCCCAATGGAGAGCCGGCGCTGCAAGTCATGGCTCACACGCCCTTACAGCGGTTGGTACCCCTTTTGAGAGCAGGCTTGCTGCAGTCAACTCGAGCCACGCCCGAGGGAATGATGCTAAACAATTTCTGGAAGTAGCACAGCAATCGCGGCACGCTGGACTGTGCTGGCGACTCGACGTGCCAGGCCGGCACAACACCTTACATGGTGGCTCAGGCACGAGCCGCGGCCAAGTGAGCATAGCAACGCCAGCCATCAATTCGATTCCTGACCAATTTAGCAGATGATTCTACTGCCTGTTTGGATGAACAGGGTTATTGCTGAGGGCTATATCCTTTACAAACAAGTTTGAAGATTCGAAGTCAGTGGGTGTTGGGCACTTAATTGGAAGTTCTTGGAGCAATTTGCTTCTTTCGCAAGTGTCAGCCACCTCAAGTTGTGAGTATCCTTGTTCAGGTTGATAGGGAAACCTGCAGGAACACTTGAGAAGACTTGAGCAGTGCCCCAAAAAGCCTATATCGACCTTTGTTAGCATCGGACCATCTTAGTGGAGCCGACGATCAATGGGTTTCGGGCATCCTTCTGGCAGCTTCCTTGTCAGCCTGGCAGCGCGGGTCTCGGGACAAGCCGCTTTAATGCCCATAGTAACACTTCACTGGTTGCTTTATCAAAGGGATCTGTGGGGTGAGGCATGCGCAGCAAGCATGGGGAACGCTGCAAGCGTCAAGGACCCGTCGAGGCAGGTCTAACACTTCCCGGGGAGTTGTGCCTACATCAGGTGGAAATCTTCTGACCCAATCGGGTCTGTTGTATAGGGAACACATGGGTGCGTCTTTGTTGAAGGTGCCTTTGTTTTGCGGTTTTAAAGACAAAGCAGAAGGAACCCGGCCATTTTGGGGGGGTTCAATTCCTGCTTTGAGACCAACCCACATCCTTCGTGTGGCTTGGGAGCAAAAGGACAGTTTTCGGGGTCCCCATTGTTGGAGCGCCCAAACAGTGCACCACAGATATCAACAGCGGGAGTTTGAGAGATTTGCCCCTCCAGGCGGTAGTGGCTGTGCCTGGCAGACCTATGGACTGCCTGGGGAGCGATTGGACTCTGGCAATCGAGTGTCTCAAGGCCCTCAGCATGGGAAGTTTGATTAACCCAGTTGCCCAGTGGTGCCAACTTGTTTCGACTTTTTTGGGGAAGAGTTCCCCTTCAAAGTCAACCAACCAAAAAAGGATGCCCTTTTTTCCCAAGGCCGCTGGGCATTTGAGTTAATGTTCTTCCCATATTGATCAACCCCAATTTATAAATATTGGGGTGTCCCTGGTTTTAGTGGGGATTTATCACTTTTGGCGCAGAACACCCCCCCCATACTAGTAAACTGGGGTTGATTAATCTGGGGTCAACATTGAGCCACCCAAGTAGGGGCAGTCCCAATAGCAGGCGCCCTTTGCTTTGTTACATTCTGTTGGGCAGACTTACTTGAAACCAGAGTTTGAGTATGACCCAGCCGTGTTTGTTCCAGGGCTGATGTCATTTCCTAGGGTTTTGCAAACAAAGATCGACCGTATTCCGTGGTTGCAGAGGCTTGGTTTGCCTTGCGTGGCACTTGAATAGTCTGTCGACGTTCCTTGTGCAACTGCACGCTCACATGAGCGGCGTTCTAAAACCCCTGCACTTGAAAGTAGTATTCGGGAGGAAATATCGTTTTCAAAATGTTGACTTTTCCCAGGTCGCGGAAGCGCCGCGCAAGGTTCGCGGAGGGGGTTCTCAATTATGTACTCGCGGAAGCTTCGCGGAAGGGCTACGATTCAATCACGAAAGCAATACATTGTAGTTTTCCTTCACGCGCGGAAGCGAAAACAAACTTCAATCCCGTTTCTCAATCCTCGGAAGCGACGCGCGGAAGCGATTCCCTCTTCAATCCTCTTGCCCTTTTACCCGCGCAAGCTCCGCGGAAGCCTTTGCGGAAGGGATTTGATATTTCTCTTTGGCCGCAACTGGGTTTTGAACACTGCTCACATGGCAATTTGGGTTTCACGCTTCATGTAGCTTGTCTTGCATTTAAGACCCTGCGCACAGCGTCATTGGTCTCGCCAGCAATTCCATGACGCTTCCTTGACTCAGAAGTGAATTATGACTCCCCCCCCAGTTTGTGGTTGACAACTACTGAGACTATCTCCCCGAAGGTCAATCGGGCCGTGACAAGTTGTGTGCATCCAAGGAAGAAGCAAATTCAGGTTTCGGATAAGGCCACATGTAACACGTCCAAGTTCCCCATGGATCAATCCCACCAGGAACTATCGATTGGGAGGCCCGACCATTGCCTGGCCAGGAGTGCGCACTGGTGGGGCTCTAAGTCGCTCTGGTGACATCATAGTCATATTGTCAATTGATTGAACATGGATATCAGTTGGGTCATGTATTTTCAGTCGTGTGGTTTGAAGGGCAGTGGTATAACGAGCGCATGATCAAGGTTTTTTGCTTGGGGATCTGATTCTTAGTTTAGGTTTTGGACATTTCTTGATTGATGGGGGTTGTTTTCGCACGCAGTGTGGTGATGGGCTTCCGGAACTTGGCCTCGACCAAAGCCGGGCTCAGTGCAGAGGGGTCCAAGGCCCAGCTTTTTGGTTGGTCCACTTTGTTTTTTTCGTTTTTTTTTTGGGGGGAGCCCAGTTGTTGGATGGCTTTAAAGGGACACCAAAAGGAAAACCGGGGGCCTCCAATTCCTAGCGTGAGACAATCCTGCATCTGAACATGTCACGAAGACATCCGAAGTCAACGGAGCCCAGTAGTTCTGGTTTCTCTGGCTGGGCTGTTCAAAGGCTTAATCCTTCCCTCGGGTAAGGAACCGGTCCCCTTTGTACTGTTTTTCTTCTAACAAATGAACGAGGATTGGCCAAGCCTGCATTTTGAACAGCCCAGTCAGGGCGGCTTCAACTATTACGGCTCCTGAGAGAGCCTTTTGACGGGAAAACATGAAATCAGAGGCCACTCGCTGGCTCGTGCTGTGTGGCTCAGACCTGGTTGTCTACCTCCAGCGGAGTGTGGAATGGCGTGAAGCTGACCAGTTTCGCGGGCTGACCAAGCCTCGCAAACCAAAAGTGCTAGAAACAAGTCGCGGACCAACCCGCAAGCTGCAAACTGCTGGATATTAGAAAGGAAGCCGTGTAGCCCAACACACGGGACTCGGGCAGACCCCACAGGCTTTGCTCTTTGACCTTCGGGGAAGCGTGCGATTTCGCTGTTTGCCACGATTTCGCCAAAGATGCCGCTGCCATGGTCGTGGCTGCCGTTCGCGGGAACCTCTGCCGCCGCCTTCTCGCTGGGCTCTCAGCGACTTGGCGGGGATTGCGGTCTCGCTCTCGCGGTTTCTTTGGCACGGTGGCCTGTTCGGTAGCCGGTGAAGCACCTGTTGGGCCGAAGTGAATTCCCTTGGGTGTGGCCAAGTTGGGAACCCGGTGAGGCATTGGACTAGCTTGGCAGGGGCTTGGTTTGCATCTCAGTGGTTTCAACATCCCAAACAAGCGCAGCAAACGAAGGCTGAAGTGTCATTATCTTGACTAATCTTTGGTATGACCTTAGACCCTTTGGCAACAAACAGCTTTGGAGTCAAGCTACCAAAGGTTAGACCTATGGCTCATGGAAGAGCAACCCAGAGCGGCTGGTCCTGGGTCGGGGGCAATCTGTGCGGTTCATTCATTTGAGCTGGGTTGGGGGGTGTCATCACGGCGTCATGTAGTCTCGAAAGGGCCGCATTCCGTGGGTGAGGCTTAAACTGTGTGTTCCAGCAAGACCCTCGGGCATGACCAAGAGGCAGGCACTCCGCAAATTACGGTTTCCTTTTGGCTTCCGTTTTTCATTCCAACGCTTGTGTGAGGTGGAGAGTCGAAGTCCTGAGTCATTTTCTGGGAGCCAAGGAATATGAGTTCGTCCGACGACTCGGCGCACAGCAGTGCAGAATCCACGTTTGATGAGGACCGACGGCCGTCAGGCTTGGGGTGGCTCGCGGACTTGTCTACTGGGGGAGCACCCCTGTGACGTCCCTTTGAGTTTGCTTTCAGCTAATTCCAAGGGTTCTCTCAGTAAAATGCACCCATATTGTGTCGATTGTGTGTCCAGGACAGCTGACTCTGATTGTGTTTCTTGGGGGGGGGGGGAAGGGGCGAGGTAGCAAAACAAAAGCGTCGAACTTGTTGGGGCGTGCCTGAGCAACTCATGTGTGAGCAATGTCATCCGACAAGATGTGGGTGTGTCTTTTTTATGGATAAACAAGTAATCATCGGCATAAGTACGGACAGAAAGAAAATGAAAGAAAGCAAAGCAAAGCAACGCTATTAGAGAAATAAAGACATAGATAAAGAGCTATCTATATATATATATATACATGTACATAAGTTGAGAAAGAAAGCTATCAATGAAGCACTAAGAAGTACATCAATAATGAAATAAAGAAAGACACACATAAACACATAACTAAAGAAAGAAAGACTGAAACAACAACATAAATCTGGACAAATATATACACGATCAAGAAAGTCATAAAGAAAGGACGCAATGCAACGCAATCCAAAACAACACACAACGCAGCAACACACATGAATAGGATCATAAACACGAACTACATAAACTATTAAATACATAATCATGAATGAAGACAGGAAAGGACGGAAGACAGAACTACATCAATACATAACACCAGAAAAGGAATCAACAGCAACAATAATATAAATATGTATAAAGCAACATACAAACATGACTAGACAAAACAAATACGTTCAGAAGGTAATACAGGTCTAGATATAAGTGCCAAACAAATAAATTTAATCGAGAGAGAGAGAGAGAGAGCGAGAGAAAAGACACGCACACGCGCAAAGACACAGACAGAGACTGAAACAAACAGCGAGCGAGAGAGAGAGAGAGGTATAAAAGAGAGAGCGAGAGAGAGAGAGAGAAAAAAAAAAAGAGAGAGAGAGAGAGACACAGAGAGGCAGAAAGAGAGATAGAGAGAGAGACAGAGAGAGTGTGTGACACGGAGACCTAGATAGAGAGAGAGAGAGACAGGGAGAGAGAGAGAGAGAGAGAGAGTAGATAGCAGAGATGCTTGCCAAAAGTTGCGACTAACGACCTCAGCATTGGAACTCATGCTTGGGCAACTGTTGTTGTCCAACCCTCTGGGTCCGATTCGAACTTGGAGGTCTTTTCGACAAATGTGCCTTCGGTTTCTCTTGATGGCCCCAAGCCTGGCGGTCTGTTTGCCACCTTTGGTGGACAATTGATGGACCCCCTCGTAGTGAAGGATTCCTTTTTGAGGGGGTCGGCCATTTTCTCAGAAGAGGTAGCAAAAAGACCCCCCTGGTTTGCGTTGGGGTCCTGAGCCGGGAAGTGGTTCTCAGCTTGACTTTTTCGGACGAGCGTGCCCAGGAGAATTCCGACGCCGACGTGTCCGACACGGCGTCCACGACCATGAGTGGCGACACGCGGCCAAAACCCCAGGGCTCACAGGTGCGCGAAAGGGAGCCCAAAAAACGCACAAGACATGGATGTCCCTCTCACTTTCCAAAAGGGAACCTTGTAGCCTTTGGATTTTCCCATGGTCCACTTTTTGGTCATGACCCCAAAAGGTTAAACCTTTGAGTTCCAGGTCCTTTGGGCAACTGAGCCCTTTCCAAGCACAAAAGAAGCCCCCGTTTCGGAAGCCGAAAGTTTTTCGAGCCCGCCGGTCTGGGTCCCCTCGAGCTGTTTGGGAAGTTCGGCCCCTAAACTCGGCACATGCCACGCTTCGAACGCCCGGGTCGGTCAAGTCAAGGACTTGGGAAGGACATGCAATGTCCGTGCCTATGCGAGCAGACCATATTCCTAGAATATCAGTTTATGTCGATTCGTTTCGCAGTTTTTACAGGTTGATGGGATATCGTGATTGGCGGTCCCTCTCGGGTCTACTCTGGTGATATTGCCGCCACCTGCGTGATGTGGGAAGAAGACATTGTGTCCGTATCTCACAGCTAGGCAAGCTTTGCATGCTGCAACAATTGTGATCCTGTTGCAACATTGGCGCAACTCTTTCTTGTCCGAGACACAGGAATCGGGTCAAGATTCTGAGTAGAATCGAAACCGAGTTTTTGCAAGATGAGTGCTAGCTGGCGACAAGATGCTTGTCGATTTCCCAAATGCAGACAACATGTCATGAACCTTCCCTCAGCGATGCATGATCTAAATCATGACGCGAGTGGTACATCACAGGTTCTTTCTTCTTCTCAGGGAAGCACCCGTCCCGCACCTGCCCGGTTCTCCGAGGAGTCCCATGCTGGCAGCAGGGTGATATTGGCCAGGAGCAAGACCAAGATGGCCCTGATGCGACACAACTTGTCGAACGGCAGCTCGATTGGAGTTGGCTACTGGCTTATTCCAGGCAGAAAGGCTTTGGCGGTTTCAAAAAAGCTCTTTGGGGGATCGGCGTTGGCCTGGTCAGTTGGCTTGGTCGGATGGCTTTTTTGATAGTTGGCCTAGGTGGCTAGTTGACTTGTTGACTGGTTGGCTGGTCGGTCGGTCGGTTGCTTGGTTGGTTGGTCGGTGGGTTGGTCGGTGGGTTGGTCTGTCAAAAAGGAGGCATGGTTCCCTAGCAAACTGGGGTACAATCCCAATTGTTCATGTGGAGTGCATCATCAGCCCCACATCCTTGCACGCTTGAAACCAAGTGAAACCCTCGGAGAAATGGCAATCTGATCCAAGTCACTGGTGGATCTGTTGCAATTCTCCAAGCACCCCGAGGGACCAACCAAGCTAAGCTGCCAGCGAACCAGCCAACAAAAGACCAACAGACCAACAAACCAACCAACCAACAGCCGACCAGCCAGCCAGCCAACCACCAACCAACGAATCACTCCGGCCCGGGGGCTTTGCCGAAATCGTCATTTGCCGAGTACGATGTTTGAATGAACCGCTCAAGGGATTGTTTGGAATGGTCAAGTCAACATTGACAGGCACGATTGAAATTGTTTTTTTCATTCGTATTTACAATTCAAGCTGGAATTGTTTCGAACAGCATCACGATACGACTGCAGCTGTGGTTGTCGGGGAATGTGTTTCGATTTGCCTCAGTATTGCCTATGTCGAATTTACTATTGCAAGATTACGGGATTGAACGTTTGGACAAAGTTATGTTAACAGGGCGCGTGGTTGTATTAATACGGAGTATGGGAAGGTCGCACGAGCAATGAGAACTTGCGAAACTTTGGCAACACAGAAGCACACATCCAGCAGGACTTTGAGCTCAACAAATTGTGAGGTTTCCTGTTGGTTTCCCTTGAAAGCCATCCAAAACAGTGGATGGTACTTTGACCAAACACAGTTATGTGAATTGTGTGTTTACGTACAGGTGTCGTTTTTTGTTTCCCCAAAACAAACAAGCACCATGTTTGTTTGTGTTTAATTACCCAATGCAAGTGACTTTGCTTTTGTTCTTAAACCTTAGGAGTTTTTGGAACCTTGTGTAAACCTTGTGTAAACACCCAATGCAGGTGTTGTTTTTTCTCCCCCACCGGGGCCCCGCGGATGTTGGCCAGGTCAACGTGTCCTGCACAAGATCCGGTGCCGCGTCTCGGGTCTGCTGCTCATGCTGGGCCTGGTGTGCTCCGCCTGCCCGGCGCGTTGGGTCCAATTGAAAAATGGCCGTACGAATCAACCCTAGTTTATAAATGGGGGGGGTGGGGGCCCCTCCAAAAGTGGTCTGATTTCCCACTACTAAACCCGGGACACCCGCCTATGATAGGTTATAACCCTTCAAGCCACCCTTGTAGGGGTACCCTTCAAACCCACCAAAGACTTGGATGTTCCACCCACTTAAGTAGGTTACAACCATGGTCATAACAGGACAATCACCCCCCCTTACCCAAGATAAAAATGCACGGAACGGGGCCTCACAAAGGCAACCCCTTTATCATGGGCATTCATGTCCACTTTTGAGGTGGTTCCCCATTGAAATGCATAGCCAGAGTTCGGGTCCCTGGTTTTCCTTGGAAACCCCAAGAATTCTTAACAAAAGCACACGTCATTGGGTGAACAAGGGCTTCATCATGAAAATATCAGGATCAAGGGAACTGCTTGGAAAGGGCAGTCTTGACATTCGCCGAGACTAGTTCCATAACCATTGATGCAAGCGGGGAGTAAGGAAAATCCTTGTATTGCCCCATGACGTGTGCTTGTTTTGCTTGCAATATTTAGGGAATCCATCGTACCAATGAGAGTTTATTTGCACATGTTGCGAAGGAGCCCGAAAATTGGGTCCGATATTAGGAATTTGGCGAGCATGCAATGGAAAACCAAGCACCAGCCCTGTAGATAGATGTACCGGCTATCGGCGGCAAGGCTGAATCCTGGCGGATGGCGTACAGACGGATCCCGCAAGATAGACCCACGGGATCCCACTGGGGAGGAGCCTTTGGTGTTGACCTAAAAGGCCTTTTCAAAACAGAGTTTTCGTTTGGCCGGAGGTCCAAGGTGTTGTTTTGACGTTGGCCAACTTGGTTCATTGGACCGCAGGATTTAGAAGGGTTCCCCCTTTAGAGTGGGGAACAGACACCGGTCTGCACGAGAGAGTGTTGAGCACAAGGACGTTCATGGGCGTGTCTTTTCAGGGGACCCCCAAAAATGGCTGGTGTCTTTTTGGTTTCCCTTTAAAACCAACCAAATGGGGAACCCTCGCAAAAATATAAGCTCAAATGAGTGGCGTAGATCGTCGGAGTCTGCGTTGAGCCAAGGTTTGTCGGAGACAACGGAGCCTTGGGCTGAAAAAGAGTTGGTTTGTCCGAATCCCGTGAGGTCTGTTCACTCCTCCATGTTGCCACCTGCTCAGAAAACGGACCCCCCAACAGGCCCTTGGTGAGCTAGACAAAAAGCAAAAGTGAGCCACACTGACTTTCGATTAGAGTTAGCCCATGGTGAGAGTAGTGCTGTGGTGTTTGAAGTTGCGCTTTGTCGTGCTCGTTTCCTTTTCTGGGAGGCGATTGAATTTGAATGGAGCACATAGGATTGCCCTGAACAGTAACAATGGACGAAACATAAATTAGCTGCTGGACACGGGATGAGTAGGACAGGCTCTGAACAGCTCAAGATAGGTTGAACTGGCGCTCACGACAGCTGACGGCGCAGCGTTCGATGGCGCATGGAAGAATCCGCGTTGGGCTGGATTTAGCTTGTGCCTACGTGACCCAATCAAGAGTGATCGATACGTAACAGATTATCTTGGGAGTGCTTCTTAATGAGTATTCGAGGAGTGCTCGGACCTGGTAATGCAGCTACTCAGCTACTCTAGTTGTTGTTCAGTGCTTTTATCTGCTGTGCTGCTGTGCGTGCAGAGTTTGCAATCCGAGCGTACCCCGATAGAATGAGGGATTGCCTGGCGCTCTCCCCAAGGCCCCCATTTCGGGTGAGTAGATGCTTTCCGTCGCCAGGTGTGCGTCATGTTCGAGTACTCTCGGTCACGAAGCCTTGAGGATGCTGATGTCTTGGACACAGGCAAGTACATCGACCAGGCAAGCCCTGTGGGCGCTTGAACAAACCAACAGAAAGCCAACGGCTTGGAAGACTTGAGCTGGGTAAGCGTCGCGTTTCTGAAACGGGAATGGCGGAGGGCGTTTTGTTGAGAATGCCTTTGACGGCGAGGAGTGCAACATGAGCCCATTAGTGTTCGAATGCTAGCAGTGTTCAAGACTCAGAGGAAGTACAACCCAAAAGCCGCCCTAAACAAACCGCAAACCTGCCCTAAACCCGCTCAAACCAGCCCCACACCCACCACAGACCTACTCTAAACCACCCTAACCAAACCGGCGTAAACCAACCCGAAATCCACACTAAACCAACGCTAAATCCACCCTAAACCCACCCACTTTACACCCACTCATCTAACCCAACACCCTAAACACAACCCTAAACGTCCCACACGCCCACCTCCACCCTGAACCCTTTGAACACAAGCCCTAGTCCCGCCCCAAAAAACTCACATTGATCCGTTCTTGAACCCAATAGCCCAGCCCCGAACCCACCCTAAACTCATCCAAAGCCCACCCTAAACACCCTTAAACACCCCTAAAGCCGCTCTCAACCAACCCTAAGCCAATCCTAAACCCGTTGTAGACACATTCTAAACCCGGCCTGAACCAACCCTCAACCCCTAAAACCCTAAATCGACCCCAAGCCCACCGTAAACAAGATGTGAAGCAACCTAAGCCAACTTAAAACCAATCCCTAAACCAACACTTAACCCACCCTAACCTTAATCCACCCCCAAATCCAACCTAACTAAACCCAACACAAAACCGAACCTGAACCAACCCACCGGCCCAAAACCGACCCCCAACCCTAAACTCACCCTACATCAACCCTAACCCAGCTAAACCCCGCAAACCGGTCTTTGCAGCTTTTGAGCCGCGAAGCATTTGGCGTTTCTCGACCCGCCGAAAGATTCTAGCCTACACCTCCAAGATTGCGAGCATGTGTGTTTTGTGACTTTATGCAGAGCACTTTGTTTATAGGGCGATTGTGTCGAAGCAGATTCGTTTGTCAGGCCCGTGAAGCTTTGAAGAATAAGTTCCTGTCCAGAGTTTCTTTGGAGCTTACGCGGTGAACGCTATGGCGGGATGTGTGGCTGCTTCAGGGCTTAGTATGGCTGAGATCAGATAGGGGTTACATCCAGGGAAACTTCGTGACAAACAATCCGGGCAAGTTTTGCTGCGCCTCCCTTACGTGAGACTTGTTTGGGGGAGCCCATTGTTAACAGGAACAGTGGTGGCTGACCAGCGTTTACTACTGCAAGGCCTCAACACTTTGTAAAAGGTGCCACCGTAGTCTCGAGATCTCATGGCAGACCATGTTTCGCCTCTCAGACTAGCGTGGTTCTGTTAAACGATGTCGGAGGTCTTTTACCAGGTTGCAGGTTGGTGTCCAGGAATCTGCAATCAGAGTGGCTCTCAGAATGAAAGACTCCGAAGCTGTTCAGTGCCAGGTCATCTTCGGCTTCCTGCTCTACTTCTGCCAGATCGTTTGTTGCTGCCTGGCTCCCCTGCAGGATGACGCCAAGCTCACGCGCCTGGCGCCTTTGCTTAAGGCTTAAAGGGGGCCCATCCTCCCGAGAGGCGGGCAATCAGGAAGTTTTTGCTCACAGAAACCCTTTGACAGGAGCTTCTACTTCTTTTGCTGTCCACAGCTTCCATATGCTTACTTCAATCGCGAAATGTGGACAGCAATTCGTCACGTTTCAGGCGATAGTTTCTTTCATCAGCCATTGCTGCTTGCGATGTAATGTCAGGGAGAAGCACTAGATATGACCAAACCAGATCGGACGAATTGGGAAGCTCTCCCTCACAACTGACATGTCAAGCATGCACCCTTTGCGTTCTTGAAGCACATGTCTCTGACAAAGCTTGCATGCTGACGAGACACCAAGATAAATCAAGAAAACACTGATGCAAGCAACATCTACATCCCCACATACCAAGACATACCTACCTGCATACCGACATCCCTACATACCATTTACATACATCCTGCATACCGACATCCCTACATTGCATACCTACATACCTACATACCGTACCTAAGTCAAAAGCCAAAAATATATGTGCCCCGCAGGCGCTGTTGCAGCTGGCCACCGTGGCGTTGCTTGGGGCGCCTCGGTTCGGGTCTCGACGTGGTTCGGGTCTCGAGGCCTTGCAGATGGACAAAACGCAGGTGGTAGGTGGCTAGTAGGTGGTTTGTGTCAGTGGAAACCCCTTCAGCCTGCAGGTAGTCTACCTTGCTTCCATGTGCTGAAACGAATATGTTGGATTTTCCCCTGGTGTGAAAGGGAATGTATCACCGTCACGATTGGAGGTGGCTTGTGCCAGCGGCAGGTTTCATCCAACTGCAAAGTGGGCTGCCACAGTCGTTCAAGGGAAACAGGATGGCCACGCGCACCCCGAAGCTCAGTTTGTGTTCCTTCACTTGCTGAAACTGGGTTAGACTTAGGATACATTTTGCATTTTACCAGTGACTCAAACAAAAGCAAGCAATAGAGTATACATTCTGACTTGGACATGACAGTTGTGAGAATGTGAGCTTGTGCGTCCAGAGTTACATCATGAAGCTCAATGCCCCAAAGCCTAGGGTCAGGGTGTCCTGATTAGCACACACCCTGGCCTGCAAGCCCAGCCCAGAACAAAAACGAACCTCCTCGCTCATTTCTTTTGTGGCGGTCAATAGCGTAGGTTCAGAGGCTTTCTTGGTTTTTATATTTGGATGGGCCGACACCTACGAGTACAGTTCAACATGTCACCTTTCTTGTTGGTCACTCATTGTTACAAAGGAGCCGTACATTGCACGTTTCGCAAAGTGCGCCTGCATCAGGCATTGCAATGCGGACAAAGATTCCAAAGCATTTCAACGGATGCCGACTTATTTAGGTTTCAGCCCACTTGCTGGTACCTAGGCAATATTACCTGTAAGCTCCATGAATCTGACTGGCAGACACTTAGATTACTTTCTTGCTGGGGAAGGTGTTCCTAAACGTCTGGAGGCTAAATTCGCCCAGATTGTCCTCGCAATGTGTATGTTTCCGTCTCCAGAATCGAAGTCGACCTTTGGCCGCCCTTTCTCCTAGGGCCTTTCACTGCCACAAGAGCCGTATGGCTTGGCGTCTTGCATCCAACTTAGATGTTCACACCACGGTTCTAACTTGGGTAACTGGGGGTGATCGTCCCCTGATCACCATGGTCATAGGCTACCTACTGTGGATGGACGAATTCCTGCACCACCTGAGAAGCCCTGGAATGATTCAATTCCCCCGTAAATGCCAACAAGGGTTATGGCTTCAACCATGGTTTCAAAGTGGTCTCAGTTGTTCAGTGCCACCCTTTTTTCCTTTTTTCGGTGGCTGCCCCACTAAAAATGGTCTTCCTCAAAAAGGGTCCCTTTTTTTCCAGAGTCACTGAACAACTGAGTGGTGTGTGTACGGATTTCGCGTCACCATCCACAGATTGCTTCAACATCCCAGTGGCTTCTCAGGCCATCTTCCAGGTCTGGCCCGCCATCCAAATCTCCTTGGACCAGCATGCAGGACTGGGGCCCTGGGGTGTTGCTTCTAGAGACAGGTGTTTGTTTGGTTGATACTAACGATGACTTGCTTGACATACTGTATGAGCAAGTTTCTGTCTCCTGGCCTTGGATGCACCGCTTCCGGGCAGAGCACTTCGCAATGTCCATGTTTGAAATATGGTACTGTATGGCGCACGGCTCGCACACCGGCCGTTTGTACATTCCTATACGTCGATGCCCACTTAAAAAACAATGCGCCACTTAATCACAGGCAATTAGGTCACAGAGGAACACAGTTCATTCCATTTCAACATGGTAGCGGCGCAGTGACAAACATCACACACCTGTGAAAGATTCTATTATCTGCGGCCTTTCCATACACCTCACAAAGAATGGCGGCTCAACAACAGCAGCAGCAGCAACAGCCGTTGCAAGGAATACACAAGTACACAATAGCATCACCGGGATTCACAGACGAGTGCACCAGGTTTGAAGAATGGAAGTACAAGATGAGAGCATACCTCGGACTACAACATGCAGCATACAAGAGACAGCTGAGACAGTAAGAGCAATGCAAGCCACAAGTCGTAACTGATCACAAGCAGGAGCAGAGCAATGGGCACAACTAAGCACAGCATCTTGGTGAGCAAATGCAACGGACCAGCATCAACAATTTGCCGACCAAACATGCAAGGCAATGGGTTAGGTCGCTTTTGTTCGCGAAGAAAAGGGTGCTATTTGAACACGCCACTCACAACTGCAAACATTGCAGATGAAATCCAGAGTGAGCTGGTGTCACTTGCAGGAAATGAGTGCAGCATGTGACCCGGCCAGCATTCGGGCCCAAATCGCGAATGCCGCCAGCTGTTCTCGCCCCCCCAATTCTCAGTATGAATCTATATATATATATATAGACACCCGTTGTTGCTTAGGGGTATTAGTTTAAAGCTAAGTATTTGCTTTTGTTAGAAGAATGGCCCGACATCATGCTCCCAAAGCACGAGTAGGGGGGAGAAGTGGCATGGCACGCCCAAGACCAACCCCAAAAACAGTTTCCTTGCCCCTCCAGCTGCTGGGAAACTGGACAATTGCGAGCGTGTGGGCGGTGAGGCCCGAGATACTTGCCAAACCTTTCATTGGGGGGGGGGGTGACTTTCCGCGCGTGATGCCTACCCAAGAGTCGGCCAATAGATTTTGCCCGGCTTAAATGTTCAGCAGCAACGCCGTTCCGTTCTCGATTTATTGAAGCCATAGCATTTGGTTTTCAGGTGCTAAAGCCGCCCGCTAAAGCACTTCATCCTTTGTTGCCCTGGTCCCACCTAGTTCCATTGCACTTGCTGCCCCCAGGGTGTCAGAATTCAAAGCATATCTTGTAGGCACAGATCCCAGTGCTTTGTATTGCAGCCTTAGTCGACATGCCCTGAAACGGCCCGCCTCCCGCTGCTTTCTGCTTGCCTCGAACTGGGTGTTCTTGAGTGCGCCAGCCCCTCTTGCCCAACAATTGTAAGATTGTCCAGGGGCAAAAATTCCAGTGTCAGGTAAGATTTCAAAGGGAAACAGTCATGGCTCATGACTGGGAAACAGCCAGCATGTGTGTTTTGGTTTGGCTTGGCACCTTGATTGCATTGACTGTTGCATTGGCAGCATTGGCTTCGAACTGCTTTTCTGGCTTCAATTGCCAACTACCCGAAGTCTCCATGACCGTATACAGTAAGCATGGTCAAACAATTGGCATTACCCGGAAGGGATCATGGACATCCCATCAGGCGGAGATTCCAGTTTTTTTTTTTGCTGGTCAGGGCGCAACGAATGTAGGGATCCCCCGATCCAATGGAGGTCCTAACCCCTTCAATGGGTCTGTGATGGCTGGGGTCTCGGCCTTCGAGTCCAAAGGTACGGAATGGACATGGATCCCATCGGCTGCCACCTGAACCTGGCCCAGCTGTGCATGTCACCTCGCACAATTAGACAACGCGCGTGTGTGTTTTTGTTGGTTTCCCGGGGCCTTTGTAGGGGGCGTTCCAAAACAAAAGGACATGACACCTCAACTTGTTTGCTTCCTCTCTTGGTTTGTGCGCATTGTTGGTGTTTGCATCTCTTGAAACTTCGGGAAACCGCCCAGTGGGTGGTCTTCTCATCCGATTCAAGCCCTCCAAGTCACGAGAGGTTGCTCTGCCGTGCTCTTGCAATGCGACGTCACCAGAAATCATGTCGTAGATGCGCCATACGGTGTTGGGAGGTTCAACGACTGGAATCATTGATCGAACTAGCTTGCGAAATCACAATCCTCGAAGCTGGCGCCTGCATGCAACGGAAGGAGCGCAAATCTCTCGGTTCTTTGTAGGGAAATAGTGCATCCAAGCTACCTGGAACGAAAAGTCACCTTGTCCATTGCACCTCACTCGTAGGCTATCGCTGTATATGCTTCCCGCATACTGGGCCTTAGCGGGCAAGAACATAAAATGGAGATATCTGCTGAGAGTTCCAGTGCCAACATCTGGTGCCTTCTTTGCTTAGTGGCATGTTGTTCTCCTTTGGATCGAATCTCTTTGCCACGCGACGTAACTTTTTCCTTGTATACGACATACACGTGTATAGGTGCATCATGACACGTGCAACATGGTTGTTTCAATGTCCTGGGCTGGCAGGTTTTCGGGGTATCCTTCCTGGCACAAAGTGTGGTCTCGAATTGGGCAGGACGGCATTGGATTAGCGCCTTGCAGCTCAGCTTGTGAGAGCGTTGCATACAAGTTGATCGTGGCTTGCAGCCCATCCCTTCAAGCTCATCGAGGGCAAGAGGATCGACTTGAAAAGCTGGGATCACCAAACACATGTGAAGGGCTTTCTTTCAGCAGGCCAACACCGCCAAATTCTTGGGTCATGCCGTCCCTGTGCGACCTTTCTGGATGTCATGTTCTCTTTTGGACATGTTAGCAGGAGGATCCCTTGGCAGATGCAATGCCCAAATGCTGAAGCCGGCAACACGGAGCTCAGCAAAGTATTCTTCATTGCTGCGCAACAAAAGGATTACATAGGATTTGGCAAAATGTAGATGGCATAGTTCCCACCTGAGATGTGTCATCCACTTGGGCCAGCGTGGTGCCATGAGCATTGAGCAGTCTTTGCCAGGCGTATGACCGCTCTGGCATTCATGGTCGTCGGAAATCTCGTGACCATGTTTTTCTCAGACCCGGATCGAATGCAGAGGCTGGCGCGGAGCACATGGGAACGGGCTAAAGAGTGGCAATGGGATCGGCGGATGAAGCTAAACCCGTTGATCATGGTTGTTGTTGGGAAGCATTTTGCATTTTTTGCTTATTGTGGTTTAGTGGGAAATCACCACTTAACTGCTAGAAAATACTTTTTGTTGCTCCCCTTCCAACGTCAACCAAGTGATTGTCTCGGGGGTTGCGCCCTTTTAGTGGGTGGTTATCACTTTGGAGGGAACACCCTACGTTTATATGAATTCGGAGTCAACATTAACTGCCCTCCAACCAGCTTGATAATTCATTTTCTTTCCTGGCTCAACTGGACAGCTCACCTGATTGGGGTCTAGGGGCTCAACAACTATACTGCTGGAGATCAGCCAAGGCAACCTTTCATGCGGCATGTTGCTTCCCCTTTGTCAATGCAAAGGCCGGTGATTATCTGATTGCAGAAAGGGGGCTGTACCATCGATGCATTTGTCGCGCTTCATGTACAAATGTATGAGTTGCACAGGGCCGAAAGGTAGCTGAGCAGATCAGTTCTGGAGCTTTTGTTGGTCTTCGCAGGTGCATGTGGACGATTGCAGCGACGTTCCTGTTGGTTGACGCTTGGCCGCAGAAAATTGCATCGGCTGACGGGAGCTGAACCGGAAAAATCGGTTCGGAAGCTCAAAGGGATGGTTTTTGCCTGGTCGAACAAAGCCTATACATGGTTGTTGTTGGGAAACATGTTACAGTTTTGCTGATTGTGGTTTAGTGGGAAATCCCCACTGAACTGCTAAGATTTAATTTGTTGCTCCCCTTCCAACGTCAGCCAAGTATATTGGATTGCCATGGCTTGAGACACCTTCAAACTTTCTGCGAACAACACGTCACTTCGCTGCATGCCTTGCAGATTGTCATTTCTGCACTGTCCACCAAAGATTGCACCAGGGTAGCCAGGATCCCCACGGTTGATTTCAGTCTACCTTGCTTCCATTTGGATAAGTATATGTTTCCCGCTGTTGGCTTTAAAGGGAATCTATTACTCCTGGACATATTGTTATTTTGTCCAGCGGACTTAAGCAAATGGAGGCTTGGGGTATGGTCCATATATAGTTTGAAAATGGAACATGTGGGTTCCCAAAAGGGTAGCTTCAAAAAGTCGCGACAATGTGAGGTTGACATTTGACATTAAAGACTGGGAACAAGCGCTTCAGGAGAAAGCCTTGTTGCGGGGCCCTGCGGGGTTGTCAGAAGTGCAGCCCCACCCCAAGCAAACCAAGAGAAACCTGTGGAAACAATTGAGGAGTTTCCAAACCCCTTACGTTAAGACTTTAGACTCGGTTCTCGTAGCTTGCTTCGGCGTCATAAAATGTGCGGGCCGCGTAAGCTCGCATAAGGCGCGTTATTCAATCAAGCTTCGGGTTCAATGCTTCAATAAAGTCATTGGACTCTTCATGTTGGAGTGCCCTCTTGCGAATTAGTCATCGTATCTTGGCGCAGGAATCGATGAACGCCGCAAGCCACACAAACATGTTCACGAAACGAAGCGCAAACTGACTGCTGGCCAGTGGCCGCACGCCACTGGGGCGGTCGCCAGAGCGGCGCAGCCACTGAGGATTCTCTGAAGAGAGAACCCGCAATTGCGCGCAAAAGAACGCGCAAACCGAACCTTAGGGGCGGGAACGCGGGGAGGATCCTCGCAGAGAGATATTCCTGGACCCGCAACCGTTCGATCTATCCGGAAAAAAATAAATAGATTAACTAAAACAAAATAAAGTAAAAACATCATGTGCTTAGTTGCAAAGTCGCGCCCGCAAGGAAGCCCAATGTTTTGAAGCACAATGCTGGCCATGTATGGATTGTTTTGGATGCGTGGAGAAGTAGGCTCCGCGGAAGCCGCGGCGCAAGCTTTGGCTTTCAGCCATGACCCTGGAATTGACCCGGGCAAAGGCTACTTCGCGTAATTTTTACACTGCTGACTTGGTGGTTCCCAGGCATCCGTTCCTTTGGTATTTCAGTTGAGTTTTTAGGGTTTAGTGGTAGTTCCACAAGACCTCTAAAAGGGTAGACCTTTAGCAGGGGCCCAGCTGAGAAGTTGCGACTTTCGAGCTGGAGCTGCCAAAGCGTACTTCACGTGCGGGATTTGTGCAGAAAACTTGCGATCTGCGAGCCGGGGCTGCCGAACTGCGCGTCGGCGATCGACTCGAATGCTGCGCCGCCTCAATTTTGGGTCTCGCGGAAGCAGCGAGTAGAACGGGCAACGTTCAAGGGTCGGAATCGCGCTGCCTTCCGGTGAGCATTGTTTAGTCATTGCCCATTGGTTTGTCGTTACTGTCTTGCGTTGTGGCTGAGTCCTGTTTGAAAACTGGCTCGGTATTGGATTTAGATATCGTTCACCACCGGAACTCCTCCTGTATTCCCTACCCTGTTTTTCCTGGCAGGTTGATGAGTTATGTTGGGATTTCTGTAGTCACATTATCTCTCATGAGTGCTCAGTCCAGTGCCTTAGCTACTGCGTTCAAGCTTTTGACGGTGGCAGACTATTGATAAAGGGTTGTTATAGTGCTTTGCTGGTTGGAGTGCTTGCTTGAAGACTCGCCTGGAAGCCGAGACTCTCTAGTGTGGAAGAAGGAACCCTGCTTTTGGAAGAGGATTCGAGATTTCCCTGCTTTGTGGTCTTGATGGGGAGTACTGCCACAGGAGATTTTGGCCATCCTCATGCACGTCATTGTCGTGACTTGGCAAAACCTTCGGGGCTGGGGATGCGCACTTATCAGCCTTGAAAGAGCTTGCGTTGTTGCATCCCTTTGCTGACATACAATTTGAGGGAGTCTCCTAAAATCATGGAAATCGTAGGGGGAGGCTATCCCTCATTAACCCATAAGGCCTGAGAATGGGCTTAGCCTTGGCTTATCCAGGGATAGCCTCCCCGCTCGTAGCCTCCCTAGAAGTCCATGATAAAAGCCAATTGCGAAGGCATGGCGACAAGACACCCCGGACGCACAGGAGGCTCCTTTTGCCTTGGACAACTTGACAATAGTGCGTCCTCGGAAGTGTGTTGCAAAATCGATCCAACATTTCCGTCGGAAGCCGATTCAGGCAGGCACGTTCTAGAGATATGTTGCGCACGGCTCACGGGAGAGACCGGCAGGATGCCCATCATGAGACCACGCTCAGCTTTTGGCGTTTGGCCAGTCGCACATGGAAGTAACAGGCAGGTCTCTGTTGGTTTTTGACAAGCTTGGACTTTTAGTTTTTGACAGCAACTCATTTAGCGCGTGTATGCGCTAGCTAGCTCCCTTGATCGCGCGCCGGGCCTTTGACAAGTGCAACCTTGATAGGTGGATTGTGAACCTTCGGCCAAGACAAGGCAGAGCTGTCAATGTCCTCCGAAGCAATGCATCCCCACACACCGTTTCTGCCAAGGCCCTTCCCGCACATTGTATTCCTCAGGCGAGCGACACTAAAACATGATTTGTGTAATGCCGCTTGATCTCGCCTTCTGAACCGCGGTTTGAGCATTGAGCGAAACCGTTTTTGGATGTTCAACCAACTTAGTAGGTTATAACTTCCGCAACCACAGTTAGCAGGGTACGATCACCCAAGTTACCCAAGTGATGGTTTTGAATGCTTACTCAGTGGCGTGAACATTCAAATCTGGGCCTTGGGTTTTACCGTGCCAAAAATAAATAGGCGGGTGTGTCTTCTTTCAGAGCCCCCAAAATGGCTTCGGTTTTCCTTTGTACACTATTGAATAAGAGACAATACAAGATTGTGTGTGTGCCTTTCGGGGGAACCCTAAAATGGTGGTTTTCCGTTTCCTTTTGTGCCAAAACACACCCCAACAACTGGCGGGCAGGTTCGTGGGTTCTTCCGCCCTACGCAAATCGGGTACCTAAAAACAGCACCCGGCAAAACAAGTGCAACGCAAAACGTGATTCCCAGTCCCAAAAAGAACACAGGTGCCGAAACAGCCAGTACCCCATAAAAAGTACTGTGGAGGGACCAAAACCCGCACCACCTAAGAAACCCTGGAATGATTCCTCTGTAAATACCAACAAGCAATGGTTTCAACCATGGTTTCAAATTGGTGCGAAATGGATTTCGCAACCATCCACAGTATCACCCGTGACACGTCATGCTTCCGTGAGTCGGCGATCCTACTGCACATCTTCGACCCCATGGCCATGCGCTTCCTGGGCATGTTGCCCTCCATGGTGCTCAGCCGCGCCTCGATGCTCCGCAGCAGGTTCCAGGCAGGGAGCGTTTGGTCTTTGGTATAGTCCCCGATTTAAAGGGAGGGGTTTACAGGGAAGTGGTCTGAGGTGGGAAGTACTCCCCGCCCTTTTCGGTTTTTTGAAGGGAAGTAATCAGAAGAAAACCGGCTTTGCCGTTTTGCGGGGTCCGAAGCCTAAAAAATACCTTCAGGCCGAAACCGCGTGTGATTTCACGTTGGACAGGCGCCACAAGAACGAAACGGTTCTGGCCGCGGGAAGGAAATGCACAGAAAGCGAGAAATGGGCGAGATGGCTGGTGGTCGTTTCTCTGGCGTCAGTTCTTTCAAACCTTGTGGGTGCGGGCTTAGAGTCTGCGTAGTTTAGGCACCTCAAATGCCCACACCAGCGATGAAAGAGAACCGATGGTGTCTGGCATGATATCCCCCTGCGCATGTTCGATTGGACTGTTGCAGGGTGCTACGGTTGAGACAACCTGATTCCATGCAGAGAGTTGACTTCATGCTTTGGACGGGCTTGGATTGCTTTTTGCAGCGGCCTGGATAGGCCTTGATTTTGCAGAGGTTGAATTATATGGGGGCCTGTATGTTTCTGCCGAGGGCTCCAGCAAAGGAGCAAGTCCTGCCTGACGAGCAAGCAGCCTGTCAACTTGTAACCTTGGGGAGTTCAGACATCAGCAAGGGCCACATCTCTGCGCTGGGCATTATCTCCTCGGTTTTTAAGCTGTGATGCGTTACCCTGTCCCAGTGAAAGGCATGTGCCCATTCCACAGGGGATTCTCTCAAACATCGTCCCCAGACGAACATGAACATGCTCTACAGGAAACCTCCAGAAAACCGCGGCCCTCTGCATTTGGACGGCTATCCTCTCAGACCCCGGCCGTTTGGTAGGTGTCCTTTTCGTTAGTTTGGACATCAAATGGGTTCCACTGCTTTTGGGGGTTTATGGCATCCATTTGCCAGGGAAAACCCACCCATGCCACTGGTTCTGGGGTACGCCATCCATTTGCCGTGAAAAACCCAGGGATGTGTCCGGTTTCGGTCACTGCCAGGTCTGGGTCACGGGCTTCTTCAGCTACCGCAACAACCGGGCGGCGGCCGCCGGCATCGCTGGCTTGGTGGGCAACTGCTCCATCCCTGAGGCGCGGATCGGTTGATCGGATCGAGGGGAGGGGGGAGGGGATTGGACAAGGTGCTGTTTGGTTGTTGATCTGTTGATCCAACTTAGTAGATAGCTTACCATGGTTTTAACGGACCCACCAGGAAATTGATGAAGTTTTAATTGGGGGGAAATCCTTTGTGACCCCCAACAATGGGGACTAACACCAGTTGCCCAAGTTGTAACCATGGTTATGACTCATAAGTTATGACCTACTTACTGAGTTGGTTGAGCATCCAAGTAAGACCTGCGGTGTTTCTTGAAAGGGATTCTGGACCATGGGGTTTCAAGGGAAAATGGGAAAAAACAGCATGGGGTCCTTACAATTTGAGAAACACCCATGTCAGATTGCCAAACACGGGGACAATTGTGTGACAGACCTTGACCTCGTCAAACAGTTGTGTGTCGGAGGTACCCTTCCACCCACGGAAGAGAAACAACGCCTTTTGAAGACGCCGTCACAGACGAACAGACATGTCTTTGAACAGGCTCTACTTGAAGGGAACCCTATAATGTTTGCTGTATCTTGCAACCGGAGCCACCGAATGACAGGTATCCTGGTGCCTGAACTCGTGGGTTCACTTCTTCACGGAGCTTCTAGACAGGAATGCTCTTCAAGCGCTTGCACGTAACGCACGGGTTTGTTGGTTGCTTCTAGGACAAGCTTCTCGACTCTAAATGAGGCCTGGAGATTCAAACACGCAGAACTGGGCGTGTTCGGTAATGGGTTCGATTGGAGGAAAACTGGGTGTTCTGGTACGAACCGCTGGCAAACTAGTACGAAGGCCGGCGTCTAAGGTGCTGCCGGCCGTCTGGGAAGATATTTGAGATTATTTGAGCCAACAAGATCTGACATCATATATAGTTTCCTTTATCGGTGCTTGCATTTCCCTTGCAAGCATGACCCTACATCAGTCCCCAATCAGGGCATGCTTTTGAGCGGGCAGTGCATGCAAACAAACCCAATTGACCCACTTTTGGGGATTTGCACTCGTTTGCGGGTTGTTGCGGGCGTTTTGCGGGTTTCTGCGCCCGTGTTGCGACCAACAGTCAGTGGTACGAACAAGAGCATTTCTCACCCAATGAGAGAGAAAGCCCTGTGCAAGAAGGAAACACTCAAAAATTCCAATTTCTAGGCGTCTTAGTCGTTTTGCGGTAAAAATATACGAAACGGGCAAAAGCAATGCAATGACCAAAACATCTACTTTTTTCTAGTCGTTTGAAGCTGCAGGGGTAATCATAGAGACCTTACAAAGAGAGTTTTGCGGCACAAGGTTCCTATGAGGAGCCTTAGGTCGGTGAACAAGCGAGGATTTTACAACGAGATGAGCAAATGGTCAGGGTTCAAAGCAGTGAGTCTGCTGGAAACAAAAAGTAGCGACCTCACAAGTTACTCTTGGCAAGGACAGTGGTGCGTGTTTTCGTGGATACCCTTTTCACCTTGGTTGAAAAGGATACAAAAGGACAGCCATCAATTTGGGGGCTCCCGCTTGGACACATACCCAATACGTGCCATAGTCAAAAGACCCAGGAATGGGCTTTTTAGGCAGGTGTCCTGGTT